TTAAAACTTCCATACCCAACTCATTAAAACAAAACTCTGGAAGGACAAATTCCAGCAAGTGAACTAAGATTTCTAAGCAGACTGCTTATCTGATACTCCTACAGAAAAGACAGACCTGGTCAGGATTTCAATACAGACACTTTCAAGGTTCTTCCTTAGAAAATCAACTACACAGCACAAGCAACACACAAAGCATGTGTCTTTCTTATATATTAATCTCCCCCAATTTAATTTTAATGAAAAATTGTAATTATAGATGAGCTGGTTTCAAGTCACCAGTAAAGACTCTAAAACCTATTTATTAAAATGCTCCCTTAAAATTTTCCCTGTATGTTTTGGTTTAAGCCAAGAAGAAGAGATATAATTTGGAACATAAATGTCTACCGACCATGGTAATGCAAGTAAGAAAGATTTATAGCTTACCTTATCTCAAACTAAACATTTCCCTTCAGTAGGTCTTTGAAGACGCAAACCTTTAATAAATCTTGTATTTCTTTTATTTTTTATATGTATGCCTCTGTGACAGCAAAATCATTGACAAAAAGTAGAAAGTATAGACAGCTGCATCTCGCCTCTCCAAAAAGAAACCCAACCAAAATCAAACAAAGTAAGACACCTCTAAACAGTCTGTTAAGAGGGACCCTTGGAAGAAGGTGAAACTGGAAATGTTATGAGAAAATATAAGTTATACTTGCCATCATCATCATCATCTTTTTCCTTCTCCTCCAGTGCTTGCTTGTCCAATTGTCTTGCTACATCATCAAGAGCACCTTCCACTTCTTTATCAGTTTCCTGTCCTGTTTGTAAAGTTAAAGTACGACTTACAGTAAAACATTAACTCCATGTTAGTAACAATAGTCCCCAAAACTTCATAAAACGTTATGTTGTACTCATCCTACAGACACCTGAGCACCTAATGCTTTTTTCTGTCTTAAAGCAGCCCCAAACTGTAAGGGGCTGTAACTGTACACATTGACACATCCGATTACTTTTTTCTGCCACGGTAGCTAATTCTTCTTCCCATAGCAGCAACCTGCTCTTGTGAGATAATACGGGCGTGAAGTAGATAATTATAAACGCACAGCACGATCATCGCTAACTGATGGCCTGCTAAAACAAACCCAAACCATCGCGCCTTTATGCTATTTGCCCAGACTTGCTCCAGCTCTCTCCGAGAACTTGGGAGGGGTGCAGAGCCGCCATCAGGCGGGATGACTTTTACAGCAGCAGTCTTACACCTTTCTCCCCCCGGGGCATAGGAGAGCTTGAGGGAAGCGGTGGTTTCTCTTGCGCACAGCGGACCGAGGAGGACAACCCCAGCTCCAGCCGAACGGCAGCAGCATCCTCCGGGTACCGCCAGCCCCGTCCGAGCCGCAGGGATCCCCCTTAGCCCGCACCGCTGCCACGGGCCGGGACAGCGGCCTCGGTGGCGCCCCGCACCCGCACGCCGGGACCCTTGAG